TTCCATTCTTCCATCTCTCTTGGGACACAGTGGTTTCCTTGTTTAGGATGAACTTTTATTGATCTCCATCTGATTATGATAGTTTTCTTGATGTTTTTCTTTTCAGTAAACTGAAGGGTTTGTCTGCAAAAATCTCGTCATGCGCTCCAAGATTTTGCACAGTTTATGCTGTTTCCAAAGGTAGACTGTTTTCTTCACGGCCATCAGACATAGAGATTGATGGAAGCTTAATAGATGACAGCAGTGAAACCAGTTGTTCAACCAATAGCTCATTGAACTCTGCATCCACCTCTCAGATAGGTATTCTAGTTAGTACATTTAAGATGCCAGGGCTTACTAAAGAATGAGTATATTATGAGCGTACAATATTACTGGGAGAATGATGTGCCTTAGCATTATTATTAGTTCATTCTCATATACAAATTCATTGATATTTTCTTTTTCTAATATCTTGTTGAAAATCCTGATGGTCATGCTAAAATTTTTGTCACACAATTTTTCCCATATTGCAGCATTGTTAGTACATTGTGGATTTTTATGAGCCTTCTCATACTTCAGTCAATGTATTTCACGTGTTATACAATTCTGAGACTAAAATAATAGATCATTTGCATCTTATGACCCTACTTAATGAAGAGTTTGGCAGCACTTGCTGCTTCAACATGGATTCTAATGGAGTCTATCCTTAGAATAGTTTTTAAGGATCTGTGATTTCTAATATGCAGACTATGGCTCAGTCAGATCATATGCTCCGACACATTCCTCTTCCCTAGCGGCACAGAGATATCAAGCTCTTTCAACCATTAATCTGACCCGTCAGAGCGCAAAATCTGGTTCAATTGAAAATAACCACTCTAGAAGCCATTCTCTAGACCTTGGCATAGAGCAAACTGCTATATATTCTTCTTCCAAAAACTCAGATATTGACAATGCTTTGAGCCGGGCCTCTAGCTGCAAAAGCAATCTGTCAGATGGTGAATCTTGGAATTATTATCAAAATCCCACCATGGATGCACCACTGGCAACGGTGTCGCCTGATAAGCAGGTACCTTTTTTCTTTCTTTTAACAAATGGTACTTGTATACTGCTGCCGTTTTACTTCAAGCAACAGTGGCTCTCTGAGATAATTCATATTTTTAATGGCAGCATTGTAATTATAAAGTACACTATACTGGAGCATGCAAATTCTGGGAAAATATATGTGTCTGTGTGTGTACGCGCACGCGTGCATGCATTGTTAAACTATTGTTTTAACAACTGCCATTTGTGTGAAGCTTGAATTTGGAAATAATCATGCCTCCCTTTTTTGTCATTTATATGAGCAGGAAAATTTTTACCTTGAGCTGGAAAAGTTGAGAATTGAACTAAGGAATGCCCAAGGAATGCACGTGGTGGCTCAAAGTCAGAATATTTATGCATCACAAATGGTATTATCCAATTGCTTGCATCTTTCTGTAATTGGGGAATGCTAATCAGAAATTACACGTCCTTTAGGTCGTCTCCTCTCATAATCTTGCACAACTGGCATCGTAATTTGTCTTAAAAAATGAGGACTTTTTTGTCCAACTACAAATGTAGAAAACTAGTCAAATCTATGACATGGATAAAGTGAGAGATGTGATATTATATGAAAATTGACTAGTGGAGTAAGTAATCATTGTGTGGTCACAAACTAATAGTGCAAAGTCAAAGAATATATCATGCTTTTATTTGTGACCAACTTGACGTATCAATTTTTGGCCATTTTACTGTTCTCACCTTAAATACTTTGCTGACTTTAGGTGAGAGAAGTTTGAAACCACTTACAGAGAAAAAGATATTGTCATGATTAAGAGAAAACTGTTGAGGCAGGATTAACATATTTGTTATGCATATGACAGTTCATGCATTAATCTTAAATGTCTCAACGCTCACTAAAAATCACCTACCTTACTTGATACACCCGATGCTTGCGTTCATGCGTAGCTTAGCAAAATTAAGTCTATAGCAATTGGAGTAGAAACAAATATTCCCATAATTGGCATGGAATGCATTTTCTAGAGTTAAATTGTCAGTTTGAGTAAATATTGAAAATTTTAAGCAGCTGAACAATCTCAGTAAGAAGAGAACAGGGGAATCTATGAAATTGAAGGGAATTATTGCTAAGGAGAACATGGCCAAAAAATTAATAATAAAGGAGAGAGAGAAATGTGAGGCAGCAGAAAGAGAAGCTGCTTATTTGAAAAGAAGTGCTGAAGAGGAAGCCATTGAAAGAATAGAAGCAGAGAAAAAAGCTGTCGAAGCTGCCAAAAGGAATGAAAATCTAGAGGATGCTCTCAGTGGTTCCACGCCTCATTATAAGAAGATTGCATGGGATGAAATAGTTTCAGCCACCTCATCATTTTCTGAAGAGCTTAGAATTGGAAAGGGAGCTTGTGGAACAGTGTACAGGTGCCATCTGTATCATACTTCTGTGGCGGTAAAAATTCTCCACTCTAATGAGGACCACATTATCAAGCAACTCCAGCAAGAGGTATGGAATCTTTATGGACACATAGGATATGCAAACCTAGTCTATGCTACCATTTATATGAAAAACTATTCATTGGCCTTTAACTGACACCTTTTGTTTTTCTGTTTTGGTTAGGTCAGAGGTTTTTTATTCGCCAAAATAGTATTCTTAAGATGAACTTTCATTGATTACCCTTTTTCCTTTTTTGTTCTTCTTATCTACAAGATGCAAATTACTCCACCATCCCAGCTAATAATTATGAGACTAATAAGCCACATGATGTTCTTTATTCTTCTGTTTGCTTCAGCTAGAAATACTGAGCAGAATTCGTCATCCAAATTTACTTCTCCTTCTTGGGGCATGCCCTGATCATGGATGCCTTGTGTATGAATACATGGAGAATGGTAGCTTAGAGGACAATTTACTCGGAAATAGATGTAATATCTCGATTCCATGGTTCAAGAGGTACAAAATTGCATGGGAAATAGCCTCTGTTCTTGCCTTTCTTCATAGCTCGAAGCCCAAACCTATCATCCATCGTGATCTGAAACCTGCGAACATCTTGCTAGATGAAAATCTTGTGAGCAAGATTGGCGATATTGGCCTTTCTACATTACTCCATTCAGATACTTTGTCTACAACATTCAAGGACACAGACCCTGTTGGGACGCTCTCCTACATAGATCCTGAGTACCAAAGGACAGGGTCAATATCTCCCAAATCTGATGTTTATGCTTTTGGAATGGTGATCCTCCAATTGTTAACTGCAAAACCAGCTAGAGCACTGGCTCATTTAGTAGAAACAGCAATTGACAAGGGAAACTTAGCAGAAGTGTTGGATCCCAAAGCAGGGAGTTGGCCACTTCAGGAGACTTTGGACTTAGCTCGATTAGGCCTAAGCTGCGCAGAACTTCGGCGTAGAGACAGGCCTGATTTGAAAGATCATGTACTCCCCATGCTGGAGAGATTAAAAGAAGTCGCTGATAAGGCTCAGCATTCTGCCACAATTATTACTGTTAAATCGAGACCTCCTAATCACTTTATCTGCCCAATACTTCAGGTACTGAAATATTTCACTTTGCTCATATGGGTCAGCTGTTTCTTTGCTAAGATAGCATATTCTTCATAAAAGATGTTTTATATCCTGAAAACGACTTTAACAAGATGAAGACTAATTTTTATTCAACCCAAGTCTGGTCCTTCCTTTTCCTTTGCTTTTTCTATATCATATTGAAATGGCATGCCATATTGTGATTGGTGCAGGACGTGATGGATAATCCTTGTGTTGCTGCTGATGGTTATACTTATGATTACAAAGCAATTGTAACATGGCTGCAAAGAAATGACAAATCACCAATGACAAATATGCCATTGCCTCATAAGAATCTGATTCCGAATTACACGCTTCTATCTGCTATTATGGAGTGGAAATCCAAAGAAAACTGATACAAACGAACTTAATTGTCAGTTTCAATGTTGTTATGTTGGATAGTAGTGTCTATATATGTGAATAGATTATTTGTTACAGAACATGTTTAGATTAATAGTTCAATGGCATTTTCAATGTTTTTCAGTTATTTTGCTTTCTAAATATCACTTTCTATCATTCTTCTTAATCAGGACTGCAGTTTTTGAAATGTATGAAAAATGATGTTGATTTTTCCATTATTTGTATCTTTTGGTGGGGAAAAAAAATTGGTGTTTAGGCTAATTGGTAGTGTCTTAAGTACTGATTTTAATGCATGAAATAGGCATTCAAATTTGGTTCTTAATTTTAGAGGAGAATTCTATGAAATGGAAGTAGAAGGAAACACATGATAACCAATCTATTTCTTTTTTTTTTTTTTTCATTTTTTGGGGTATCATTGACTCTAATTTTACACTCTTTCCCCTTCCATTAGCGAAAACTAAAACCATGTTAAGAAGTTTATCTTGTCTAATAATCTAAAGCTATTTTCTTTTGAGTTGCCACTGGTTAGTGAGTGGCAAAGTTGGAAGATGATTTTTGACAAACATATCCCTATCAAGAAAACATGAAACTTTAACCTGCCACAACATGAAGAGAAATTAACATCAAAACTACTATTTGTTGACATTTGAATCGGAAAAATATGTGCCAAAATTTGTGGTTGACATATAAATCATTGTAGTTACAATTGATTACACTTATAGAGAAGTGAGTAATTTGTGCGAATTGATTGGCTTATCAAGTTAATTATAACAATTTGAATACCATAGTCTATAATATTCCACTTCCACCTTCTAGGTGTTAAGATTTAGAGTAAAATACTCTAGTGTTTCTTGTATTTTGTTCTAATTACACAGACCTCTTATTTATTTTGAAAATATGCTCTTAAGTTCAAACTGTTAACTCCGTTAAAAATATTATAAAAATATGCTTCTTTTAATTAAAATTGGTGTTGAACTATTTTTTATTTATTGATTTATCCTTCATAATACTATATCCTTAAATTTTGCCTAAAACTATTTTGAAAAATTTTAAAAATTTTTATTTACCTTAATTTTATTTTTATTTTTATAAATAGTTATTTGCTTAATGTTTTTATCATATTGGGACAGAAAATTAAGTAATTTAGTTAATATAACCATAAAAAATTGAATAAAAATTTGATTAGTTCTTTAAATAAATATATAATTAATCAAATAACTTATAAATGTTTGCAACAAAATTTTGGTTTAAAATTTTAAATTTTAAATTTAAATAATTTATATAACGTCCCAAACTCACATAATTTAGATTATATGATGAACAAATAAGTGTTTAAAATATTTTCTAGTCATTTTTAAAAAAACTAAATAAATAAATTTCAGTATGTCATGAAGAATTAAATTATATGATTCTATAATATAATCAAAACTTATAAATTTTATAACACATGAAGAACTTTGAAACTACATGTATTATAATTATTTTTTTGTTTTATCAAAAATTATTTTTTGACGTATATAAATATTTAAATAATGTTTATGTTAAAAAGAGACATTTTGGTCAAAATAAAAGTTTGAAAGTCAAACTTAATTAACAGTTAGAAGATTTGTGTGACATACATTTTAATTTTAAGAACATTTTATATATATTTTCAAAAAAGAGAAAAAATTTCTGTAATTTAGGTGAAACAAAGAGGTAGTAAATGTATTATACTCTAAGATTTATCATTAACTGATCTTTCAAAAAAAATTGTAAACTATTTTTTTAAAGAATTTTCATTGAATCTGACTATTAAAGTCATAATACTTCTTTAAAGAAGGAAAAAAAATTATTTTCAATCAATCTTTGCCTCAAAAATTTCAGCTTTTCCATGTCTTTTCCTATTTAGCATCAGAATATAATTAAGATCTATCAAAACGAATACATGTAACGTAAGCATGTTACCGGAGCCAAAGTTCATTCTAAAAAATATATAGAAACGTCAAATTTAAAATATAAAACAAAGCTTTACCAAAAAAAATAAAATAAAACAAAGCTTTAAAAATTCTATTCATTCATCTAAATAAGTTCCTCTAAAGTATATGTATCGGTATCTCTTTTCACTTTAAGAAATTCGGAGGTTTTCAGGTAAATAAATGATTCAGCAGAATAGTTAAAAGCAAGAGCATAGAAACAGAGAAGAAGAAATTTAAGTACTCCTCCGGTCCTTAACGTAAGACCCATTTAACTAATTTGATTAGACTACAGAAGTTAGGTAAGTTAGTTAATTATAAGAAATGTGACACGTTTTTCCTAAAATACCATAATCATCTTTTTTTAATATCCCATCTTCCTCTTCTATTTGATTATGGTTGAGGGAGTATCTATAGGAGTAATTTAGAGAAAATTAATAAATATGAGAAATGGGTCTTATATTTAGAATCAAAACCAACTCAAAAATTAGGTCCTATATTAAGGACTGGAGGAGTATGTATTATGATGCTTTCATTCCTTCTCACTTGGACAAAGAGGCTTAATTATATTGAGCTTGGCTGATAAAAAAAATCATGATATATAACTGGCATTTTATGATGATCAGCAAAACAATTAAAAAGGACAATATATATCAAGAAATTATACATAATTACAAAACAGTAAAATTTTCTATAAATGATATGAATGACCAAATAGAGAACGTGGCACATTTATTTGAGCAAATGAAGTTCTGGTTTTTCCCCCAGAGTTTTATTTCTACACTTGTGTTTGACAAACATAATTTTGCAAACAGAAAGAAACAGTTGCGCATCAAAAGATAGAACTTAGAAGGTGGCCAGACAATACAATAATTTTGTCACTTTCCCTTCACAAACTGATCATTGATACAAATGCGAAAAATTATTCAAATTGTGGACACTCTCCAAATGTTCAAGCCTAAGAACAATTCCATGATGGGATCATCAACAGCTTCTTTCCTTTTTCAGCTCTGCTTACTCAAGTCTCTTTGTAAAGTGCGCAGCGATCATCTATCAGTATAAATAAGTATGTAATACCTAACAGTATTTGTAAAATATTTGACACTGTGAGTGACAGAGTGATCTCATTTGTTATTGCCCCTAACAAGAAAGAATATCAGAATAAATTTTAAGAAATCAAATATATAAATCTTACTGTTAAATAAGTCCTTAGTGTTATAATGGGAATCTTGTTGTCAGGCAGTCATGCAAAGAGAAACTTTGAAGCAATGATAAGAAGAGAGTGAATATAAAATAATCTAGGTACGATTCGCAATGTCTACTTTTCCTGCTGATTGCATTAAACAGAAAGGAATATGTGTATAGGAATAGATACGCAGCAAAAGATACCTGAGGATTGGCTGCTAAATATGAATGTAATTAAGGGATGTGAGTAATCTCTTCCCAGTCTTCCCCTTCTGGTTTCTGGCATCCTTGTTTAAGCGTTGGACAAGATCGCAGTATTCGAAGGTAAGAAAGGGAACTGGGGAGGCTCCCCTTGGGTAAGCTTTGGAGTCTCGAACAATACATTATAATCAAATATTTGAGGGAGGGCGATTGACAAAGAGCCTTGTAGTCCAACATTCTGAGATTGGAACAGTTTCTGATGTCAAGAGAAGAAAGAGAACTTGGGAGTAGTCCTGGTTCAGGTAGAGACTCCACCACATCATCACCTTCGATGGTCAAGTCGTGCAAACCATTGCATTCAACATGCAAATAGTTTCGGGCATCTGTTGAAACGAACATGCGTCAGTTTTGATGGCAGACCCCCCTCTGTCAGTTTTGAATGAAGCAAAAATTTAGCCCAGGGGCAGAATACCCCTCTTGCGGAAAGGATACGAATTTTGGACACTTCAGAATGCTCAAAGCTGTAAGATTCCCATGGTTACGCCCCTCTGAAATAGAAATCATTTCAAGATTATTACAACCATGTAGAGACAAATTCTGAAGTGCGGGGAATTGATCCAATGCGAAGGTCCCAAGAGACCCACAACTTCTAACTATCCGTATTTGACGAAGTGAGTCGTGATGTTGCTTCAATGGGAACTCCAAATCCGGACAGTCACAAATCGCAACCTCTTCAATACAGGAGTTACTAATGGTTTGCTCAATCTTTTCAAGCAAACTCACATTCGTGCATGGTCCACAAAAGCGAAGTTCTTTTAGAGTGGATAGGATATATTCCAACCGCACATTTCCACATTTTTCAAGAGTCAACCGTTGAATTGTTGGGGCTCGTGGAACCAAAGCTACAAGTTGTGGGCAGTCTTCAATAACAAGATCATCTAAAGAAAGAAGTTGTTCGGGCAAATTCTCTTTCAGCTTTGGACAATCTATTATACGAAGCTCTTTAAGGCATGGGAAGGCCCTCGAAGCAGTCGGACAATCCCAATCCTCCAATTCACCATTCCGATGAGCGTCAAGGTTTCAAGAGATCTAAATGGAACGATAGAAGAATCACTTCCAAGAAATTCAGCACCAATAGCCACAATGCCATCCAACTTTTTTAATGAATAGTGACCTGAGAGACGCCAAAATGCCAAACGATGGCAACTCGAAACAATACTTGCAACTTTTTAATCGGAGCTCCGCTATGTTGGATAATGTGTTATCACCAAACCAATCTGGAAACCTTGTGCCACCATAGTACTCGACTGATAGTTTCTTCAAGTTTTGGTGAGGTTGGAGCTTCTCTAGCACATCCTTTTTATTTTGAGAATCATCATTGGTGTCTTCATTCCATCTGAAGCGTAACTCCTCAAGGTACTTCTTTTCTTTCAAGTTGGCTTGTAAGGCATCCATTCCATGAACTACATTCTGCAACTCATAAATTAAAAGTGCTCCTTGAAGATTGAGTTCGCCTAATTGTTTGATGTTGAGCTCATTACACTTGCCCACTTTAAATGATACCAACCGAACTAGAAGATTTTTCATTGTTCCCATATTTGATGGAATCTTTTTCAAGAAAGTGAATCGTAAATCTAGAAGACGCAAATTTTTTAATTTATGAAAATCAGCAGGCAACTCAACCAAGAGCATGCACTCAAGCAACTTCAAGGTTTGTAGGTTATACAGAAGACATACTGACTTAGGAAGTCTCTTAATTTTGCAATAAGATAGATCAAGATACTGCAGATGTATGAGATTTCCTATAGAATTAGGTATCTCCCTAATTGTGTCATTGGAAGTCAAAGATAAAACTCGCAAACATTTGCACTTACACAACTGATCAAATATTAGGTCCCTCGAAGTCCACTTGAAACCCCACTTATTCAAAAGAGGCAAGAATGTTTGTAATTTTTTTATTTTTTGCAAATTCTCAGACCATTTATATTCTCTGTATTCATGACACAAAAAAGATAAGTGACGGGTTTTTTCTAAATTATATGCCACCTCTTTAACCTCTTGCTTGAAACAAAACTCACCAGATACAAAATTTGCCAAATCATTGAGAATGTCATGCATGACAAAATATGCTTCATTTCCAGAAGACTTCTGAAAAAAGGATCTTGACACAAGCTCTTGGAAGTATTCGTTGCCTACTTCTTCAATTGACTTATTTGATTGAGAGGCTTGTAAGAAATTATGAGCCATCCACAATAGAATTAACTCCTTCTTGCCAAATTCATAATCCTTCGGGAATAATGAACAATAAGCAAAGCATCGCTTTAGATGAGAAGGAAGATAATGATAGCTCAATATCAAAGCAGGAAGAATATTATTATAAGAAATGTTCCATATCTCACTTCTCAAAATGTTGTTCCATTCTTCCCAAGATGATTTCCTGTACAAGAGACTCCCAATTGTTTTCAAGGCCAAAGGCAAACCTTTGCACTTTTTAACAATCTTTCTTCCAATTTCTTCATGATTAAAATTCGTTGGTGGACAATAGTTGCGAAATGCATACTTTGTAAATAAGAGCCAACCATCTTCATCTGACAAGTGATTTGGGTGATATATTTCATCAGAGGGGACGGCTAAGGCAACTTTCTCATTGCGTGAAGTAACAAGAATTCTGCTTCCCACAACCCCACCTATGAAAGGTGCTAAAAAAGCTTCCCATAATACGTAATCATCACACCAAACATCATCAAGAACAATAAGAAATTTTTTTTTAGACGACCAATCCTTCAATTTATTTTGAAGTGCATCTAAATCTTCTGCCTCATCGTTAGATGCCATGATTTTCTTGAAAATTATTTTTGTCAACCTCAAAACATCAAAGTCATCAGAAACACATATCCAAAGTCTGAGGTCAAATTCACTCTTAATCCTTTTATCATTATAAACAAGCTGAGCAAGGGTGGTCTTGCCTAGCCCACCCATACCGACTATAGAGATCACAGAAAAGTGACAGTCATTTTGCAACTGCCTAACGATGATATCTTTGTCCTTATCCCTTCCACATATTCCAACTTCATCCACCAAAGAAGTTGTCGGCAGCTTTGTGACAGACCCAACAGCACCATCTTTACCTTCGTTTAATCCCAAACCAATCCTTCTGCTCTCAAGAAATTCAAGGCTTTCAAGGACTTGTTTCATCCTTGATTCAATTTCCTGGTCAAATGAAGTAGCAGAAGCATTGAAGAATTTGCGTACCTTGCTAGTAACACTGGTTTGAGGTTCAGCTTCGGCTTCCAACTTGCGTTTGTAGAGTTCATAGCTAATCTCATCCAAGACATCCTCAGCATCGTACACAGCGTCTTTGAGCTCCAAAAGCCAGGCCCTCACATTTGGATCACTAAACTGCTTATACTCAGCATCATCAATTACACTGTTCACAGATATTAGCATGATCTTCAATTTCTTCACCAGTGTCTCATTCAATCCTCTCTTTTGGAAGTAGCGAAGTGTTTCTCCGGTAGCCAACCGGTCAAAAGCCACCTGAAGGAAGGCAGACATAAAGGCAATGCCAACATCTGCACCAGACATGGTAGGAAGAAGAAAATGATCAAGAAGAGTAAGGGATCGATGAGAGCAAACAGAGAAGCGAGTCTAATGCCAATACAAGGGAAAGTGGCCAAATAACACACAGCAATGTTTTGAGATGCAGACAACTGAAAGTGGCTGTCATCCGTTGAATTAAGGGTGAATGAGTTATTGGAAGTCAGCAATGCCTTAGTGTAACGCGGTTTGTGGGGTCAGTGCCATGTGTTTGATGCCGATTTGCCAAAATGTGATAATCCAAATTATAGCAAAATAAAATCAACACGGGAAAGAAATAAGGAGAGAAAAGGGCAAGAAAATTCAAGATTTCTTCTATCATAGAAGTTGAAGGCATCAAGAAGGCCGGGAAAAATGCCGCTTTTAAGAGAAAATATTAATATTTAATAGTAGACTAATAGAAAACAAAGTTATGGTCGACTAAATATGCTTGAACACACTTTTAGTAATATAAATTTTCCCTTTTTACCCAAAAAAAAAAGACGAAGATAATAAATTTTTATGAAGAAAAAAACTTCTTCACCAGAGTCTCATTCAATCCAATCTTTTGAAAGTAGTGAAGAGTTTCACCAGAAGCCAACCGGTCGAAAGCCATTTGAAGGAAGAAAGACAAAACAGCACCACCAACAAATTCCGCAGCCATGGCATAAATTACAAGGAAAAGGAGGAAGAAGAAGAAAAGTAGGGATTGATAGTAACAAACAGAGAAGTGCGCCAAAACCAGTGAGAAGATTCATTCAACATTATATTCCACATCATGAAGAGAAGAAGCCACCGCGAAGTTGCAGGGAAAAAAAAATATATATATATATATATATATATTATAAACGTAGTGTAAATTGGGTGTAAATTGCCCAAAAATTTTAAAATCGTAGCAATACTGTTTCCTATTATTAAAAATATTGACTATCAGGTGGCAATACCAGAGAAACTGCGAAATTTGCGACGGCGGAACTGAAGATCTGGATCACATCCTCAGACTTCGCAATGTGGCCTACTCCTGTTGGCTTAGGCTGACCGTTTGCAACCCTCCCCCACTTGTACTTATCTTTTGAGTAGTGAATTTCCTTTCCAACTATCAAAATTATTATTTTAACAGTCCATCATGGAGTCACAGGATATTATTGTTATGATTTTAAACTTCAGAATATATTTGTACTGAAAAAAATTTCTAGGTGCCCAGTAAAAAACTTCCTAAGTAAATTTCCACTATAACCCATTTAATAATTCTGTTTTGTTGAATTATTTTAGTTTATATATTACTTTTACGAGAACTATATCTTCAGTCCTTTAATTTGTATAATGTTTTGTTTTGGTCCTTTAATTTTACAAAGTATTTTTTATGGTCTTTTAAATGATTCAAGAAAAAATAAAAACAAATATAAAAATTATCATAAGTTTTATTATATAGAAGTCATGAATAATATACACATGTATACACACGTATCTTCTCCTTGGCTTTTTTTTTTTTTTTTGCTAAAGCATAGGTATTTTTCTATTAGAGTAATCCCATTCAAGGCACTGTCGAACACTAAATGTGGACACCTCTCTCAGCAAGGATTTGAACATTGGTTCACGACGTTGTGGGAGACTAGCTCCTTCCGCTAGACTTAACTCTCGTCGATTCTCCTCGGCTTATTTGTCTTAACATGCTTGAACACTTTTTTAGTGGTATGAATTGGATTTCCCTTTTTACAGGCGAAAAAAAAAACAAAACAAGAAAATAATGGGAAAAAAAAACAAAGGTGAGAGTTAGGACGTATACAGTGTTATTAAAAATAAGGCACATGATAATTTAAAAAAAGGTTGAAATTGCCTCTATATCATATTATTTTAATAATAAGTAATTAAAAAAGGGAAAAAGACAAAAAATGTTACTTAAACTTCATAATCCCCAAATGGAATGTTAAATTTGAAAAATCCCACCAAATTGGGATTATTATGTGAAAAGAAAAGACCAAATTGCCCTTCATTTTAAATATTATTTTTAAAATATCACATCCTTCTGGCGGCTGGTCACCGGAGCTCTCGGCGGCGGGCAGTCACGGAGCTCGCGGACTAGCCGACAATTGGTCACCGAAGCTCCGTCAATCAGAAAATTTTTTAAAAAATTTTTTACAACTTCAATATAACGGTTAACAACTTTTGTAATACTATTAACAACTTCAGTATAGCAATTAACAACAGGTTTTCTGAGAAATTTAACAAACTCCGGCGACCGGAAACAATTTTTTTGAAAATTTTTACAATTTCATATAACCATTAACAACTTTTGTAATACTATTAACAACTTCAGTATAGCAATTAACAACAGGTTTTCTGGGAAATTCAACAACTCCGGCGACCGGCGGAAACAATTTTTTTGAAAATTTTTACAATTTCAATATACCATTAACAACTTTTGTAATACTATTAACAACTTCAGTATAGAAATTAACAACATATTTCTAGGAAATTCAACAAACTCGGCGACCGGAAACAATTTTTTTGAAAATTTTTACAACTTCAATATAACCGTTAACAACTTTTGTAACACTATTAACAATTTCAATATAGCAATTAACAACAGGTTTTCTAGGAAATTCAACAAACTCCGGTGATCGAAAACAATTTTTTTGAAAATTTTTTATAACTTTAATATAACAGTTAACAACTTTTGTAACGCTATTAACAACTTTAGTATATAGTTAACAAGAGATTTTTTTAAAATTCAACAATTGGTCGCCGGAACTCCGATGGAGGAAAACAATTTTTTTTGAAAATTTTTACAACTTCATTATAACGGTTAACAACTTTTGTAACCCATATTAACAATTTCAGTATAGCGGTTAACAATAGGTTTTTGAGTTTGTTAAAGGCATTATTGAAGTTATAAAATGCCAACTTTTGAATTTTCAAAAAACTTATTGTTAACTGTTATATCGAAGTTGTTAATCGTTATATTGGAGTTGTAAAAATTTTCCAAAAAACGTAATTGTTAACGTTATACTAAAGTTGAAAATTTTTACAACTTCAGTATAACGGTTAACAACTTTATAATGCTATTAACAACTTCAATATAACAATTAATAACAGGTTTTCTAGGAAATTCAACAAGCTCCGCACCGAAAATAATTTTTTTTGAAAATTTTTACAACTTCAGTATAACGGTTAACAACTTTTGTAACTCTATTAACAACTTCAGTATAGCAGTTAACAATTTTTTCAAAAGAATTCAAAAAGTGGCATTTTTATAACTTCAGTAATGCCTTTAAGAAACTCAAAAACCTGCTGTTAACCGCTATACTAAAGTTGTTAATAAGGTTACAAAAGTTGTTAACCGTTATACTGAAGTTGTAAAAATTTTCAAAAAAAATTGTTTTCCTCCGCAGGAGCTCCGACGACAATTGTTGAGTTTTTCAAAAAATCTGTTGTTAACTGATATAATAAAGTTGTTAATAGCGTTACAAAAGTTGTTAACGGTTATATTGAAGTTGTAAAAATTTTCAAAAAATTGTTTTCGATCACCGGAGTTTGTTGAATTTCCCAAAAAACCTGTTGTTAATTGCTATATTGAAGTTGTTAATAGAATTACAAAAGTTGTTAACCGTTATACTGAAATTGTAAAAATTTTCAAAAAAAATTGTTTTCCTCCATCGGAGCTCCGACAACCAATTGTTGAATTTTCTAAAAAATCTGTTGTTAACTGATATACTAAAGTTATTATTAGCATTACAAAAGTTGTTAACGGTTATATTGAAGTTGTAAAAATTTTAAAAAAATTGTTTCCGGCCACCGGAGTTTGTTGAATTTCCCAAAAAACCTGTTGTTAATTGCTATACTGAAGTTATTAATAGTGTTACAAAAGTTGTTAACGGTTAGATTGAAGTTGTAAAAATTTTCAAAAAAATTGTTTCCGGTCGCCGGAGTTTGTTGAATTTTCCAAAAAACCTGTTGTTAATTGTTATATTAAAGTTGTTAATAGCATTATAAAAGTTGTTAACGGTTATATTGAAGTTGTAAATTTTCAAAAAAATTGTTTCCAGTTGCCGGAGTTTGTTGAATTTCTCAGAAAGCCTGTTGTTAATTGCTATACTGAAGTTGTTAATAGCATAGCAAAAGTTGTTAACCGTTATATTGAAGTTGTAAAAATTTTCAAAAAAAAAAAATTCCGACCGACGGAGCTCTGGTGACCAATTGTCAGCTGGTTGCCAGAGCTCCAGTGACTGCCGCTGCCGGAGCTCCGGTGACCGGTCGGCCAGTAGGGGCTGTGATTTTTAAAAATACTATTTAAAATGAAAGGCAATTTGGTCTTTTCTTTTCACGTAATAATCCCAATTTGGCCTCTTTGAGACCAAATTGAGATTTTTTAAATTTAACATATCATTTGGAGATTATAAAGTTCTTTGTCCTTTTTCTTTTCTCTTTGAATCTCTAGGAAGCACTAATTTTCTTTATCCATTTTATTTTCTGTTTACCGAACAACCCATCGTAATTATTGTGTTTCGAAATTTCAAATGAACTTTATTGACCTTGCAAATTACTTTTAGACACTGACACACCTAAATTTAAAGAATTTATAATAAAAAACTTAAAATTGCAATTATCTTCAACCATTAGTTCTGCTCGGTAGTTTTGAAAATGTTGTCTTTTCTTGGTTTTTTTTTTTTGGTATAAGTCAGAGTATAAAGACTACTGTTTATTATTTTAACCAAGGGCTTGTTAGTGTCTATTTTCATAGCTTTATCTTGTTGTATATACGGCTTAATAAAAAAAAAAAAGTTAGTCTAAATAATGGATTTTTTTTTTGGAGGCAACTAATTTCTAAACTTATGCACAGATAAACTTAAAAAACCTAATATTAAATTAATCAACACAATACTATTATATTATTGATATCATCAATAATATTAATTAAAATAATAAAGTTGTTTTAAGAGTAAGCTGCGGATTAATTATATTTGGGACCAACACATGCTTTAGACACTAGAACACGACTAACAAATTTTTGAATTTTAATTTTATATTACAGTAATAACAACAAATTTACCAATTTAGATTGGCATAAATAATGGGGGATTTCATCATTTAAGCAAATGGTTAAATTTCGAATCCACACATTACGTATATCTTTTACTCTCAAGATTTTGAAAGGTTCAGTCTCTAGTATTGACAAAATTATATTTCTAACTAATGCTATAATAATAATAATGTTGATTAATGGACATGTGATATGGCCACTTTATTTATTTAAGACTTAATTCTTTATTTATATAAGGTATTAATTTTTGAAAAAAATTTCAAAAAAATTCTAAATTTTAAAATTCCAAATCAAGAATAACTAAAAAAATGTGTTATCATTTTCTTTTTAATTTTTGTTAATTGTTATTGAAATATAATAAACAAAACTGATTTAAAATTTTAAAACTCAAAAGTATTTTTTTTTTTGGAGATTTTCCTTAATTTTTTTCCCCTCCGGTTTTGAAGTTTTAAATATCACAACTTAAAATAAAATAAAGAGCTATAGAGAGAAATTTTCTTCTAAGGACATTAAAATACATGCAATGGAAAATTTTTGCCTAGGAAATATAATAAAAAGGGCATTATTGGATGCTCAATTTGCTTTCCTCATGTGTCCCTCTGTCCCACATATCGACGGCGCTTATCTCACATGTCCCCGGCGCTTATGAAGAAATTATGGTTTGATGGGACCCTCTTCCAATACCACCCAAAATTTTTAAAAAATAATACTCTTCAGTTCTAAATATAAAATTTATTTTGTAATATAAAATTATATTATAGAATAAATATTATATTTAAGATAAGAGAGAATATCAATTAGACTCGTTTGCTCGATATCAAGAATTAAAATAACATGAAAATAATAAATAATTCATAAATTAAAAAGGTCTTATCTTTTCTTAATTTGAAAGCTGATGAAAGAAAATTATTAAGAGTTTGATAATTAATTTGAAATATTAAGAAAATAATTAAGCTAATTATTCTTAAAAAGCATGTGTTTATTTTTTTAAAACAACTTTTTTAATTATTTGCATTGAAAAGTATTTTCTTGACAAAAAATCATATCAATATATACATGCAATTAATAAGAAAAGTTTACCAAAGAACTATAAATTTAGAGGATAAAGTGCATTAAAATCTTAAATTTAAAAGGTAAAAAAATCATCTACTAACTTTTATAATTTAGAGCCAGAAGGAGTAATAATTTTTTACTTGAATAATAATACCAGTAAAATAAATATTATATAATTTCTGTTGTATAAAAAATATATTATATGTGTTGTTTGTCAACAAATTATTATCTATGTTATATACTAATGAGATAAGTAATTTTTTCAGTCGTGAAGTTCATCATAAACTTGCTCTAATAAACTCTCCAAATCCAATGGCCTAACATTTCAATTCAGTGTGTGTGTTCTCAATTTTTATACAATTAATTCATCTAAAATAAAGCATATATAAAAAAGAATCGGTGGTTAAGTTGGTTGGTAGTGTTTTAAATACTGATTTTTCTTGTGTATTGACAATTACCCTTAATTCATGTAGGGAGGGATCCATCAGCAAGTGCAAATGTGTTTGATTCTGCTGTTGGACATTCAAGTTTGGCTCTTCATTTTAGAAGATGATTTCTGACAAACAAATAATCTCTGCAAAATTAGTGTGAAGTTGCTCAATGTGCAATCAAGTAAATATTTCTCATCTTGTAATTTCCATCCAGCCAAGAAAGCATGAAACTTCAACCTGCCACAACATAGAGAGAAATTTTTTTTTTTTTAAAAGGTCAGCTATAATAATAAAACGAGGGTCGTTAATACATGTAGTCATAGCCTAAACAGAAAAGGGGGAAAAAGAAAAATAACGAGAAAGTTGTAGATTGGGAGAAAGTATCAACTAAGGTTACATTTAGTAACTAAAATTTTGTGAAAACATGGAGAGAAATCAACACCAAAATTAATATTTGTTCACATTTGAATCAGAAAAATGTGTACTAAAATGTGTGGCTTTAGATCATAATACAAAATCAATACAGTATGTCTATCGAGGAGTAAATACTCTGTGCGAATTGATTTTAATACTCTGATCTATAATATTCCACCTTCTAGGTGTTAAGATTTATTATTAACTGATATTTTCGAAAAAGAAAACATGTAAACCATTTTTTAAGAATTTTCATTGAATCCGATGATATAAGGTCATACTACTTTAAAGAACAAAAATTGTTTTTTTCAATCAATCTCTGCTTCAAAAATTTCAGTATGTGTGCTTACCCCCTGAAGAGAACTTCACGGCAAGCCACAGAACAAAAACGCATCTTCAGTGATTCCATTGACAATGCTTTAGATTAGGAACTGAAGTGACAGAATAATCTTATTTGTTATTGCCCCAAACAAGAAAGAATACCAGAATAAATTTTTAGAATTCAAATATATAGATGCTAATGTGAAAGGAGTTCTTAGGAATAGATACACAGAAAGGAATATGTGTATAGGAACAGATACACAGCAAAAGATACCTGAGGGTTGGCTAATAAATATCAGCACAAGGGATGTGAGCAATCTTTTCCCAATCCTCCCCTTCTGGTTTCTGGCATCTTTGTTTAAGCACCTGACAGGGTCCCTGAATTTGAAGGGAAGAAAGGGAACTAGGGAGGCCCTCCTTGGGCAAGCATTGGAGTCTTGGACAATTCACAATAGTCAAATGTTTGAGGGAGGGCGATTGACAAAGAGCCTTGTAGTCCAATATTCTGAGATTGGAACAGTTGCTGATCCAAAGAGAAGTAAGAGAAGTTGGGAGTAGTCCTGGTTCAGGTAGAGACTCCACCACATCGTCACCTGAGATGAGCAATTCTTGTACAAAATCATAATTGTGCAAACCCCATTGCATTCGACATGTAAATAGTTTGGGGCATCTATTGATACGAAGACGCGTCAGTTTTGATGGCAGACCCCCCTCTGGCAACGATTCCATTTGTGCACAATCTCTTATACATAGTTGACTAAGAGATGGAGCAAATATGTTGATATGCTCAGGTAGGGATTTCAAATTCTCCATATCTCCAAAGTAGCAATATTTTAGCCTTGGGGCAGAATACCCCTCTTTTGGAAAGGATACAAATTTTGGACACTTCGTAATGTTCAAAGTTGTAAGACTCCCATGGTTGCGCCCCTCTGCGATAGAGATCATTTCAAGACTATTACACCCATGGAGATACAAATGCTGAAGTGCGGGGAATTGACCCAATGCGAAGGTCCCAAGAGACCCACAACTTCTATATAACCGCATCTCACGAAGTGATTCATGATGTTGCTTCAATGGGAACTCCCAATCTGGACAGTCATAAATCGAAACCAGTTCAATACAGGAGTTATTAATGGTGTGCTCAATCTTTTCAAGCAAACTCACGTTCACGCATGGTCCACGAAAGCGGAGTGCTTTTAGAGTGGATGGGATATATTCCAACCTCACGTTTCCACAGTTCTCAAGAGTCAACCGCTGAATTGTTGGGGCTCGTGGAACCAAAGCTACAAGTTGTGGGCAATCCTCAATAACAAGATCATCTAAAGAAAGAAGTTGTTCGGGCAAATTCTCTTTCAGCTTTGGACAATTTCTTATACAAAGCTCTTCAAGGCATGGGAAGGCCCTTGAAGCAGTGGTACAATCCCATTCCTCCCAATTCACCATTCCCTCAAGCTCTAAGGCTTCAAGAGATCTAAATGGAATAATAGAAGAATCACTTCCAAGAAATCCAGCCCCAACAGCCACAATGCTATCCAACTTTTCAATGAATAGTGACTTGAGAGACGGCCAAAGGCCTAACGATGGCAACACAAAACAATACTCGCAACTTTCTAATCGGAGCTCCACCATGTTGGACAATGTGTTATCAGCAAACCAATCTGGAAACCTTGTGCCACCATAGCACCCGACTGATAGTTTCTTCAAGTTTTGGTGAGGTTGGAGCTTCTCTAGCACATCCCTTTCATTTTGAGCATCATCATTAGTGTCTTCATTCCATTCAAAGTGTACCTCCTCAAGGTACCTTTTTTCTTTCAAGTTGGCTTGTAAGGCATCCATTCCATGAACTACATTCTGTAACTCATAAATTGAAAGCTCTCCATGAAGATTGAGTTCGCCTAATTGTCTTATGTTGAGCTCATTACATTTGCCTACTTTAAATGATGTCAGATGAACTTGAAGATTTTTCATCTGTTCCATATTTGGTGGAATTTTTTTTCAAGCGAGTCGTAAATCCAGAAGATGCAAATTTTTTAGTTTATGAAAATTAGCAGGCAACTCAACCAAGAGTTTGCAGTTGACCAATTTCAATATTTGTAAGTTATATAGAAGACATATTGACTCAGGAAGTCTCTTAATTTCACATTCAAATAGATCAAGACACCGTAGATGTATGAGATTTTGTATAGAATCAGGTATCTCCTTAATTTTGCCATTGGAAGTAAGAGATAAAACTCGCAAGCATTTGCATTTACACAATTGATCAAATATTAGATCGCTCGAAGTCCACTGGGAATCCCAAATATTAGTAAGAGGCAAGAATTATTTTTGTCAGCCTCAAAACATCAAAATCATCAGAAACACATACCCAAAGTCTATGGTCAAAATCACTCTTAATCCTTTTATCATTATAAACAAGCTGAGCAAGGGTGGTCTTACCCAACCCACCCATACCTACTATGGAAATCACAGAAAATTGAAGGTTGTTTTTTAACTGTTGAAAGATAATTTCTTTTTCCTCATTCCTGCCATATATTCCAACTTCATCTACTAAAGAAGTTGTCTCTGTCTGCCACTTTTTGTCAAATCCAACAGCACCACCTTTACCTTGTTTTAATCCCAAACCAATCTTTCTGCTCTCAAGAAATTCAAGGTTTTCAAGGACTTGTTTCATCCTTGATTCAACTTCTTGGTCAAATGAAGTAGCAGAAGCATTGAAGAATTTGCGTACCTTGCTAGTAACACTAGTTTGAGGTTCAGCTTCAGCTTCCACTTTGTGTTTGTAGAGTTCATAGTTTATCTCATCCAAGACATCCTCAGCATCATACACAGCATCTTTGAGCTCCAAAAGCCAGGCCCTCACATTTGGATCACTAAACTGTTTATACTCAGCATCATCAACGACACTGTTAATGGATATCAGCATGATCTTCACCTTCTTCAACAGAGTCTCAATCAATCCTCTCTTTTGAAAGTAGCGAAGAGTTTCACTAGAAGCCAACCGGTCAAAAGCCACTTGAAGGAAGGAAGACAAAACAGCACCACCAAGAAGTTCTGCAGCCATGGTATGAATTAGAAGGAAAAGGGATGAGGAAGAAGAAGAAAAGTAAGGGATTGATGGTAGCAAACAGAGAAGTGCGCCTAATGCCAAAGCAAGGGAAAGCTAAGAACTCTTTAGCCAAATAATTTGACACAGCAATATTTGGAGATGAATGTACGTCACGGTAAAGTGGGCGACATCTTTTGAGTTAAAGGTGAATTATTGACTTATTTGAGTGCAGCTCACGCTGCCCGACAAAATTCCTAATGAGAAGACGATTCATTCAGGAGTATTCTACGTCATGAAGAGAAGAAGCCACCACGAAGTTGCCGGGGAAAAAAAAACATATATATATATGTGTAAAACTTTTAACTATGGTATTAAAATCCAATGTAGGCAAGGCAATCAAGACGGTTGAATTTTTTTTCCCTCTTAGCCTGAAATAATGATGTTTTTAGTTTTTAAAAAATAGCAATTTGTAAGATTTATAGTTTAATAATGGAAATTGGCCCTCAGAAATTTCTACTCAAGAGCCGTATTTGGAAAAAAATTTTGGTGTAAATTGTGGTAATATTGTCTCCTGTTGTTAAAAATATTAACGATCAATGTCATTATTTTAATGGATCAATGTCATTATTTTAATGGTTACGATTAGTTTTTTAATGATATAAAACATTATTGTTACAATTTTAAACTTTCATGTCACATTTGCATCCAAAAAAACTTCTTGGTATGCAGTACTCCTTAGTAAAAAATTTCCTGAGCAAATTTGCATTTTAACTCTTTTAATAATTATATTTTGTTGAATTACTTTTAGTTTATATATAAATTTTTCTAGAGCTATATCTTTAGTCCTTTAATTTTAGAGTTAAGATACATTTAGTACCCCAAAATATTTTTTCAGATGCATCCACCACTCTAAAATATCTTGTGATACTTCTAACACTTTAAGGTATTTTTTAGGAACGCCCAACACCTTGAAGTATTTTTTTTGCCTTAGTGTTGAATGCACCAAAAAATATTTTTGGGTATTGGATACATCTAAACAAAATATTTCAGGGTGATAGATGCACTAAAAAAATACTTTTAGGGTGCTAGATGCACTACAAAATACTTCGAGGTGCTAAATGCACCTTAACCCTTAATTTTACCCAATGTTTTGCTTTGGTCCTTTAATTTTACAAAATATTTTTTATAGTCTTTTAAATGATTCAAGAACAAATAAAAACAAATATAAAAATTATAATAAGTTGTATTATATAGAAGTCATGAATAATGTACACATTTATACACACGTACCTTCTCGTCGGCTTATTTGTCTTCTTAACACTCTTTTAGTAGTATGAATTGGAATTTTCCTTTTTAGGAGCAAAAAAAAAAAAAAAGAAAGAAGATAATGAAAAAAATTTTGAAAAAAAAAAAACAAAGGTGAGAGTTAGGACATATATAGTGTTATTAAAAATAAAATATATGATAATTTTAAAGACAGTTGAAATTGTCTCTATATTCATATTATTTTAATTAAGTAAAAGATAATTAATTAATAATGAAAAGAAGAATTAATTTTCTTTGTCCTTTTCTTTTCTCTTTGAATCTCTAGGAAGCACTAATTTTCCTTATCCATTTTCTTTTCTTTTTACTGAACAACCCATGATAATTATTGTGTTTCGAAATTTCAAATGAACTTTATTGACATTACAAATTACATTTGGACACTGAGACACCTGAATTTAAAGAATTTATAGTTAAAAAAATGAAAATTACAATTATCTTCAACCATTGAAATTTAGTTCTGCTTGGTAGTTTTGGAACTGTTGTATTTTCTCTTCTTTTTTTTTTTGCCGGTATAAGTCAAACTATAGAGACTACTACTTATTATTTCAATCAACAGTTTGTTAGTGTGTATTTTCTTAGCTTTTTCTTGTTGTACGGTTTAACCCAAGAAAAAATTAGTCTAAATAATTAAATTTTGGTGTGGAATAACTAATTTCTAAACTCATACACAGATATAGTTAAGAAACTAATATCAAATTAATGAACACAATACTTTTGTATTATTGATATGATCGATAATATTAATTAAAATAATAATTTGTCTCAAAAAAGTATTTTCCATTTTTGCATCTCTATTGAAATATTATAAAAGCCGTTTCTTTAACTGATATTGATTTTGGGAATTCTTAACTATGAAGGACGAATTATATTTGGGACCAACACATGCTTAGACACTAGAACACCGCTAATAAATTTTTAATTTTTAATTTTATATTACAATAATAGTAGTAGTAATAATAATAACAACAACTGGTGGTGGTGGTAGTAATAGTAGGAGTGATAGTGGTGATGGTAGCAGTAATAGTCGTGGTAATGGCTGTGGCAGTAACAGTAGTAATGGTAGTTGCAGCAGTAGTGACAATGGTAATAATGTTGATTAATGGATATGTGATATGACCCACTTTATTTTTTTTGTACTTAATTTTTTGTTATATTTATATGGGGTATTAATTATTGAAAAAATTTTTAAAAATACTTTAACATTTTCAAAATCTCAAATCAGAAATAACTACAAAAATATGTTATTAATTTTTTTAAATATTGTCAATTGTTATTAAAATATAGTAAATAAGACTGATTTAAAATTTTAAAATTTTAAAATATTTTTTTGGGTTCTTTCTTAATATTTTTCCCCTTGACTTTGAAGTCTAAAATATCACCACTTGAATAAAATAAACAGCTACAGAGAGAAATTTTCTGGGAACGAAATTGAAATGCATGCAGCGGAAAACTTGTGATTGGGAAACATAATAAAAAGGGCATTATTGAATACTCAATTTGATTTCCGTACGTGTCCTTTTGTCCCACGTGTCCTCAACGTTTACGAAGAAATTATGGTTTAATGGGACCCTCTCCCAATATCACACTCAAATTTTCAAAAGATGAGTTCAATTGGACTCGTTGGTTTGATATCAAGAATTAGAATAAAAAGAAAAGTTCTTTTGTTTTTCTTAATTTGAAAGCCAATGAAAGAAAATTATTACGAGTTTGATAATTAATTTTAAAACATTAAAAAATAATTAACCTAGCTAGCTATTCTTAAAAAAAACTTGTTTGTTTTTTTAAAACTACTTTTTAATTATTTACATTGAAAACTATTTTTTTAATAAAAAATCATATCAATGTGTGTGTATATATATGTAATTAATAAGAAGAGTTTAGAAAAGAACTATAAATTTAGAAGACTAAGTAAACTAAAATTTTATATTTAAAAGAAGAAAAAAAAAATCATCTCCTAACTTTTACAGTTTAGAACCTGAGGAGTAATAATTATTGACTTGAATAATAATATCAGTAAAAAAAAATTATATAATTTCTGTTGTATAAAAAATATATTATATTTGTTGTTTGTCAACAAACTATTATCTATGTTATATAGTAATGACATAAGTAATTTTTTCAGTCGTGAATTTCATCATAAAGTTGCTCTAATAACCTCTCCAAATCCAATGGCCTAACATTTCAATTCAGTGTGTTTGCGTTCTCAATTTTTATACAATTAATTCATTTAAAATAAAGCATATGTAAAATATTAATTATGAGATTTACATAAACAAATTTAACTAAAATTCATTTCATGTCACTAACATTATGCCATATGTCAATTTATTCATTTCATTCTCTATGTCTATGATCATTAGCCGGAGAAGAAGCAAAAGTCTCATCCATGCCTACCTCCTAACTCCCACCTTCCTCCGACTACAAGTTATGACTGCCGAGTTAAAAATAATAACTGAGAATTTATGTTTATTTAATGTATCAATGATAAGTTCATTAAATAAGTTATACTACATAATAGAAAAAATAATAGACTTAAATATTTCTTTGAAAAAGTAGTGTTTCACGTTGGTAGTTTTCCCACACAAAAAAAAAAAAAGAGCATACA